TGGTCTACAAGAACTAGTTCCAGGACAGGCTCCAAAGCTACAGAGAAACCTGTCTTGAAAAAAAAAAAAAAAAGAAAAGAAAAGAAAGAAAAAGAAACTAGGGCCGTGGTTCTCAACCTTCCTAATGCTGTGACCATTTAATCCACTTTCTCACGTTGTGATGACCCCCAACCATCAAATTATTTTTGTTGCTGCTCCATAACTGTAGATTTGCCTCTGTTGTGAATTATAATGTAAATATTGAAGCATAATTAATAAAAACTCAGAGAGAGAAATTGAGGTTCAACCTGAAGATCTGAAACGCAAAGCAGCCAGCCGCTGACTCTTACCTTGACGTCGGTCCAAAGGTCCAAATTGGCAGTCTTGCCTCCAGGAATCTCAGAATGAGACTGTGTGCTGAGAGCTGTTTCCTCACTAGGGCTGGGACTAAAGGTGTGCACCACTGGAATTAAAGGCATGCACCGCCCATTTTCTAGGGCAAACTAGTGTGGCTTCTGGGATTAAGGGTGTGTTTTACTACTGCCTGGTCTGTAGGGCTGACCAGTGTGGCTGTTTTACTCTCTGATCTTCAGGTAAGCTTTATTTATTAGAATACAATTGAAATGCCCCTGCAGAATGTTTCTGGAGACAGAGGTTTGTCAAAGAGGTCACAACCCACAGGCTGCAAAAAACACTGATTTAGGGCCTTGAGAGTGGTGAACAAGTCCTGTGCCACTGAGTTACACCTCAGCTCTGAGATGACTTTCTTTTTTTTTTTTTTTTTTTTTTTTTATTTTCGAGACAGGGTTTCTCTGTAGCTTTTGGTTCCTGTCCTGGAACTAGCTTTTCTAGACCAGGCTGGCCTCGAACTCACAGAGATCCGCCTGCCTCTGCCTGTGCTGGGTTTAAAGGCGTGCGCCACTGCCCGGCCTGAGATGACTTTCAAGACAGATCTTACGTCCGTTTTTGTTCTCTTCACTTGAATGCAGAAAAGAGTTAAAAAATGCTTTTGTTAGCCAGGTGGCGACCACATATGACTTTAATCCCAGCCCCCAAGAGGCAGAGGCAAGCACATCTCTGTGAGTCGAGGCCAGCCTGGTCTACTGAGTGAATTCCAGGACAATCAGAACTACACAGAGAAATCCTGTCTTGGAAAACAAAATGAACAAGCAAAAAGGTTTTGTTAGTTTTTATTAATAAGTGAGTTCAGAGTAGAGGGGACCAACTAGAGGCACCTGTACAACTTCTCTAAGAAAGTCTGTGGGATGGCTCGGTGTGTAAAGGCATTTGTCACCAAACGTGATCATCTGAGTTCCATCCTGGGGACAAGAATGGAAGAGGAAGAGGATCAGCTTCCACATAAATACACAGGGACACACACGCGCACACACACACAATGAATATGACAAAAAATGTTTTTAAAACCCCACAAAGATAGATAGATATGTTAAATGAAATACAACACAAGCAACACATATTTCCAAAACACAAATCGCACGTTCACAGCATGAAGAGAGGGGACCGAGACAGGCGCAGCCCTAGAAAAGCAGGACGAAAACTGAGTCCTCTTTGTCAAAAAGGGGGAAAGAGCAAACAAGTCTGGCGTGAGTCGTCTACAGGAGTAGAATTCACAGAGGCGGAAAACGCGATCGCCGATTGCCGCGGCAGCAGAGAAGGGAGGAGCAGGACGCTAAGCTCCAACTTGGGGTGATGGGAGATGAGAGACTGATGCAGGTAACGTACCACATAAATATACTTCATCCTGGGGCTGGAGAGATGGCTCAGCGGTTAAGAGGAGATCCTGCTGTTGCAGGGGACCTGAGTTGGAATCCCAGCACTCACATCAGGAGGAGGCTCACAACTGCCTGTAACTCCAGCTCCAGGGGATCGGACACACCTGGGCACCTAAGGCACCTACATCTGTGCGCACACCCTACACTAACAATATTTTAAAAGAACGTTTTTATTATTTTATTTATTTGTTTGTTTATTTTTGAGACAGTATTTCTCTGTGTAGCCCTGGTTGTCCTGGAACTCACTTTGTAGATGAGATGGGCCTTGGACTCAACAGAGATCTGCCTACCTCTATCTCGGGAGGATTGGGATTAAAGGTGTGCACCACAGCACCTGGCTGCTAAAAACATTTTTTTTCTTTCTTTCTTTCTTTTTTTTTTTTTTTTTTTTTTTTT